TTCACCTGACTACCACATCACTCCTTTATTATACTGATTTGAAAAAGATTTAATAGTTATGCTCAAAATGCTTACTGGGCCCAAGTGGCAGGGCAAAGCAACTGGAACATGATTAAGAACTCAGCTACAGAATAGCACAGGACTGCTGGGGGAACACAAATAGGCTCTCTTGCCTCTTCTCATTGGTCATGCCTTAACATGGCTCCTCCCTATCCCCCTACTCTCAAGCAGGTCCTTAGTAATAAGCAAAACACTAGCAAAAAAACAGAGTTTTTTAAGTTAAGAGTCTCCCTCAGCTTGGACTGAGGACCCATGCCCCAGAGGTGCATTTCTGACTAGATTGCATGAAGGGAGTGGGTGTAAGAGACAAAATGGCTAAAAGAAAATTGGGAGCCGCCAGTCTCCATCTGCAGCTACAACCTAAGATGCCTACAGATGTGGTCAGTGTGACCTGTGCACAGAGAGATGCAGAAGAATGGGATGGGAGGGTGTCCTTGGGAAAGTCGTTTGCCTGCTCGCCTTCACTTCTTGGCCTTGCCCTGGGCAGCCACAGCCTTCACGGCTTTAGTGTGGTCTCTTCATCCCCCAGGGACTGCATGGGCTTGATGGGCTTCAAGTTCTTGTCCAATTCATAGACAATGGGAATACCAGTCGGCAGGTTCAGCTCCATGAGAGCCTCTTCAGAAAGACCCTCCGAATGTTTGACAATGTCCCAAAGGCTGTTGCCATGGGCTGCAATCAGTACCCATTTTATTTCCCCTCCTTGATCTGGGGCACTATTTCTTCATTCCAAAAGGGCAGAGCTATGGCAATAGTGTCCTTCAGACTCTCACAGAAGGGTAGCTGATCTTTAGTGAGGTCGGCATACCTGCGATCCTTACTGACACTGGTTTGTTTCCATCTTTTCACTATCCTAGATAATAAAAGCCTAATATGCCTAATGGTATGCTAAGGCTGTTCAACGGCTAGCTATGACATGTACTGACCACTAGGGGGCAGATGCTCTGACGGGTAGGTTGGCTTGCTGCTGGCATCCTGCCAATTGGGACTGAGCAAGACAGGCCAGACATGCCCTGGAGCTTTCCCTCAGCGCCTCCCTGACTGGCCAACCTCCCATGTCCCTTCCGGGTCCCAATCGTGCACCAGTGTAGTTCCTCGGCCTGGCCTGTGCCCTCTCGCAATCTAGGATCCTTTGGGGGATGTCAGAGAGCTGGTTTTGGCCAGACGGTGGAACGGCCTGTTGCTATGATGTGCACTGATCACCAGGGGACAGATGCTCAACACAGGAGCTGCCCCCTGGTGGTCAGTGTGCTCCCACAGGGGAAGCACCGCTCAGTCAGAAGCTGGGCTCACAGCTGGCCAGCATACTGGTGGTGGTGGCAGGAGTCTCTCCGACCTCCGTGGCAGTGCTAAGGATGTCTGACTGCCAGCTTAGGCTCACTCTCTATTATTGAATATCATAATATTCTAATAAGGAAGATCCTGCAGGACCCATTGTACAGGTAAAAATTAAAGCTTAGATAGATTACATAGATACAGCTAACTAAGGTAGATCTAAAACAGCAATTAGAAAGTCTAAACCTAAATCTTGGCTTCACCAATGCTAACTGTGCATTCCACTTACCTCTTTGTGTCTCAATTTCCTCTCCTGTATTATGGGAACAGTTGGACCTACTTAATGAGAGAAATACATAAGACAATACACGTAAAGCACTTAGAATCGTGCCTGATATGTAAGTAAATAATAAATTTATCTATTCTTATTAGCTTGCCTAAGGTTACACAAAATGCATACTTTCCAGTTTTAAAAATATATTTTTATTGGTTTCAGAGAGGAAGGGAGAGGGAGAGAAGGAGAGAGAGAGAGAGAGAGAGAGAGAGAGAGAGATCAACGAAGAGAATCGGCTGCCTCCTGCATGCCCTCTACTGGGGATTGAGCCTTTGACTGGAATCAAACCCAGGACCCTCCAATCCACAGGCCAATGCACTGTCCACTGAGCCAAACCAGCTAGGGCACATGCTCTTTTCTTACTATCACAATGTAACTCCAGAATTCTTTATTCAGAACTCAAAACTCCCCATGATCTGGCCCCCTTCCTATTATTTCAACTACTCTCCTCAAATATTCCTTATACCTTGCATCACTTAATGAATCATTTATTCACTTATTTAACAAATACTGTTGCCAACTTTCTTTGGTCTTGTCAAGGTGCAGATACAAAGAACATTGAGACACAGTCCCTTCATCATAGAGCTTTAAATTCAGTAAGAAAGATAAATTACAGAGACTTAAATTCTAAATCATGTGTACACAGTGGATAGACAACTTATTCAGTCTGAGGGACTCAGAGGAGTCAGGCAAGTCTCCATGGAGGAGGTGGCTTTAGATTTAGGTTTCAAAGGATGCATAAGAGTAATATATGCAATCTCTATAATTATAGCTTTTATATTATAGTATATTTAATACATATTGTATATTTTATACTATTATTATTATATATTTTTATTATTACAGTACAAACTTTTTAAGGGTAGCATTTATATGAGGTTTATGTTTGCAACTCCAACAATACCCAGAACAGTGCTTGATAAGCAGCAAGAATTTGATGAATAAATGGATACTGTTGAGGAGAGTGCCTGTAGGTGGTATTCCCAAGATTTTCCTCTTACCCTTTGCTGTAGATGGAATGTTTGTGTCTCCTCCGCCCGCCCCCCTCCCCCCAAATTCATATGTTCTAATCTAACCCAATCTCCTAATCTCCAATGGAATGGTATTTGAAGGTGGGACCTCTGGGAGGTGGTTAGGTCATGAGAGTGGAGGCCTCATGAATGAGATTGTGCCCTTATAAACAAGACCCCACAGAGTTCCGTAGCCCCTTCTGCCGTGTGAGGACACAGCAGGAAGACATCTGTCTGTGACCCAGGAAGCTCCTCTCACCACACATTGAATCTGCCGGCACCTTGATTTTAGACTTCCCAGCCTCCAGAACTGTCAGAAATAAATTTCTGTTGTTTCTAAGCCACCAAGCTGGTGGTGTTCTTTCATAGCAGTGACACCTTATATCAGTGACAGGACAAACAATATAATTTATCCACATGTTGTCCAGTAAATCAATAAGAGAATTGGATGAGAATTCAAAAATATATTTCACTTCTGGTCTTTAGTTTCATCCACACAGCAGACCCAATCTCAAAAGACATCCATCCTCCTGTGCCAATTCATTATAATTTAACTAGAATAGCTAATGGCTGGGAATACAGCACAGATAGAACAAATTAAAAGTAAAGGTATTTCTTTTCATGTGTGGATTCCAGTTATTCCATTCATTTTCCTTGGATAGATATAAAACATCTCAGGCAACTGAACCAGACAGAGGATATATATCTCTCACACTGTTATCTCCAATGATAGTGACAGCCTGAATGAATTTTATTGAAAGTAATTTAGCATTGACTGGTTAAATATACAAACTACGCATCTGAAGCAGAGACATTGCCACACTCCTTCAACTTAGAGACAAAAAATAAATGTTTGGAGATTGCATCACAAATTGGAACTGTCTTGGTAGGCAGCTCATATGTAAAAATAAAATAAATTATTTAAATTCAAAGCATTTTATTCCATTCTTCACAGTGGCAAAAGCAGCTACATTTTCGCCATCTGATCATAATGTTAGAAAAGAAGCTAATTATTTTAATAGACAATTTCAGGAGAGTTATGCCTTCTTAGCCTCACTCCTTTTTACTCCATCAAAAGTAAATTTAAAGATGTTCATTGATTATTTTTAATCTAGGCAGTAAGTATATATAGAAAAAATTAACTTGTAGTACAGTTGAAGTGTTTAATACCTTTAAATACCATACTCTGACTCTCAGACATTTTTTTCTGAGATCCTTAATGTCTAACTCCTGCTTCTGCCCCTTCCTAGTTGGAAAGGAGGAATATAGTCTGGTATTTAAAATGTAGCCTTAGGCCCTGGCCAGGTAGATCAATTTGTTAGAGCATCATCCCAATAGGTCAAGGTTGAGGGTTTGATCTCCTGTCAGGGCACATCCAAGAAGCAAACAATGAATGCATAAATACTAGTAAGTGGAGCAACAAATATCTCTCTCTCTCTTCTCTCTCTCTCTCTCTAAATTAATACTTTTTTTGTAGCCTTAGTTCACTGGCTAGCATTGTCTGCTTGGACATGTCACTTAGCCCTGTGGTGACTGAGTTTCTTACCTCTGAAATGGAGATGACAAAACACACCTTGGCCTCATGGGGTAAAATGGAGCTTACAAGAGATGAGCTTCTTGCACAGGATAGGCCCTCTACAAATACTGTTTTGCAGTAATGGAATGCACATATCTCCATTTTGGTTTCAAACATCAATTTAACTATCAGGAGAATGCTCCATCTTATAAACACACAAGGGCTACTGGTTTTTATATTGAACTTAGAAATTACCTGATTAGGAAAAAATGTCCACCAGAAATCCCAATCAACAATTGTATTTTATCATCTGAATTTCTCTTTTTAATTCACATGTCACTGAAGATCATTTGTCCTTAACACAGCTCTTGGAGGAATGACCAAGAATGGGAGGCTAAAAAAATAAATAAATCAGAGGGAAATCACTAAAACCTTTTTAGACTTCATTTTGTGTGTAGCGAGGGCCATTGAAGGATTTGCTATGGAGGAGTAATGATTAGCTTTACATAGACCTACACTAAGCCACTGGTGTCATTGTCCAAGATTATTTGGAGGAAGAACAAATGACAGGCTGGGAAGTGAGTTTTGTCCTGTCTTCTAAGGTTTTAGCTAATTGATCTGGGTAAACTAATAAATGTCAAAGTGTTAAAAGAAAATTGTTCATAGAAAATCCAGTTTTCCTCTAGGTAATAGCCTATATAATAAAAGAGAAACATGTAAATTGACCACCCCTTTGCTATACTCACCAGCCAATCAGGAGTAAGTAGGCAAATTAACCTGACAAAGATGGTGGGTTAATTTGCATATGCAGGTGTCAAGTGCCCCTGGAGGCAACAGCGGCCATGGGTTCCTGGGACCATCACTGGCCCCGGGAGGCAAGGCTGGCTGCGCCAAGCCACGCCTGTGGGCTCCCGGGACATTCACCGACGGAGAGCAGAGTGGGAGAGTGGGTGGAGAGTGGGAGATTTGGAAGACTTCGCAGAGCAGGGGGCCGCTGGACATAGAGCCGAGCGAGATAGAGGGCAGTTTGGAGGGTGTGGCTCCCTCTGTTACCCCAGCTTACTCATCACAGATGTGGAAACTTACAGCAGGGAGGAGGAAGTCCCACCCCAGCCAGAATCAGCTGTTGGTCAGAAAGCTCTCAGAGGCCTGATAGCCAGGACTCTCATTCACCTGCATCTCAGACCGTGACAATAGAGAGGTGGGACTATGTCTAAAGAACAACTATTGATACAATGTAGCTCTGTAGGTGAAAGATGTCAGCGTTATTGACAAAAAGTGTCTGAAGAGCAACGTGTGTCTGATCTTGAAATAAGGCGACGCCTGCAACAGAATGTATCTGAAGACCAGCTATTGGAAAGACATCGCTCTGATGCCGAAAAACACTGGCATCATTGACAGAAAATGTCTAAAGACCAATGTGCCTTTGAAGTTGAAAGAAGCCAGTGGTGATGACAGAATATGTCTAGAGAACAGTCATCAACAAGTACTACCAATACTGGTAGGAACTGCCTTTTCAGCAAAAATGGAGTTCACAAGGATGCAATTCTCAAACATAGTTGGGGTGGAATGACTGTTAGATGTGAATTTTGCCTATCACTAAATTTCTCTGATGAAAAACCATCCAATGGAAAATTTACTCGATGTTGTAGCAAAGGGAAAGTCTGTCCAAATGATATACATTTTGCAGATTACCTGG